AAAATGACGGTCAAATTTTTTAATCAAATGAATGGCTCAGATTGATCATATTTTAATTTTTCCTTAAGATTTCCTAAATTATCCTTAATGAATATGATTATTCGTTAACTTTTTTGTTAAATATTATCTTTTCCGTTAATTTCCGTTAGTTCACCGTTAACTTACTCATTAATTTCAATAAGAAAGGTCGAAGGTTCGAACCGCATCTCAATCAAAGTTGGCATAATTAGTACTCTATTTTACTCTTATTAAATTAAATAATAATTTAGTAGCTACAACAAAAAATAATACATACATATTCATTTATTTAATTTAGAATTATGTGTCTACAATGTCTTTATTCAAAAAAAAAATTATTCATTATCAATAAATTAAATAAGAGAATTAATTTCATTAGTTATATTATATTTATTTTTCTCCAATGTACAAATTCTTTACATTCAAATTCATCAATTGATTATATTCACTACATTGTCTATTATCTTTTTTGTGCACTATTTTTTAATTAAATATCAAAGTTATAATACAAAATAATGCTATATATTTATTTACCAAGTATTTTATTAATACCATGAAAAAATTTAAAAAAATATAATTAATAAAGTCAATCATATTAACTACTTGAAGAATTTGTTAACAAAGAGAGTATTCAAATCACACAACAAATTGAAGTGGAAAACTATATCGCAAAGTCGCAATATCCTTGTTTGGCAATCAACAGTTAACTCTTCACTATTAGTATATATTTAATATTTTATGCCCTAATTTTTATTTTCTCTCCCTTATGTCCTGTATTTGGTTTCAACCATATCTATACAATTATTTTATTGACAATTATAATCAATCTTGACTATATTATCTTGCATTTGTAAGCTTAGAATTGCCTATTTAAATACGCAAATTTAACATTCAATTATCTATGCATAAACAATTCCAATATAATCTTGTTTTGATATACTTTAAAGTACTTATTTAAAAAAAAAAAACATTGGGCATTATCATAATCGCGCAATGCGCGTAAAAAACTAGTTTTTTTAATAATTACATAGGTGGTGTAAATAACTAAATAGGTGGTCGAATTGTTATTTGCACCACCTAGTCAAACCTCATTTATTAGGTGTAAGTAATAATTTTTTAATTCAAAATTTAATTAATTAAAGCATTAAAAAAAACAATTTCCGGTCATCTTTAACTCCCTCGCGAGATTCCTCGTAAGCTATCAACACTGGACATTCTACCCCATCATGCTCTTAATCGCGAGAATTAACATGTTTATTCAATCCTGGAAAACGGTTTTATTCAAGAAAAAAAATTCGCGAATCACGCGCAGAAAATCCTAGGGTTAATAATTTTCTGGATTTTGTACCCGTTTCTTCTCTCCAGTTTACCCAACCATTCGGAGAGAAATGAGAATAATGTTTGTTGTTCTTAGTTTAATGATGACGGGGGTTCAACAAATCCAGTTCAGTTTGAATCATCTCGCCTCCACCTTCTTCGTCGGGCCGTTGACCGGAAAAGATTGGGTGGAGAAGCAGATCGACAGGACACTCGACATCGATTGCTCGCTGTGGATGGATTGGTTCCACGGTGAATTGCAGTTCCAGATTGAACACCACATGTTCCCGACAATGCCGAGGTGCCAGTTAAGAAAAGTGTCGTCGTTCGTTGAACAGCTTTGCGAGAAACACGGATTAGCGTATAACCATGAATCCTTCTGGGCGGCCAACGTTTTGATGTTCAAGTCGATCCGAGATGCGGCGTTGATGGCCAGGGATTTGTCGCTGGAGAAAGCGCCCAAGAATTTGGTCTGGGAAGCGTTAAAAAGCTCGCAGGAGAAGGTCAAGTTTCTTTGTTTCTTTCTTTTTTTTTTTTAAAAAAAAAATTAATAGATTGATTATTAAATAAATAATAAAAATTAATAATAAAAATTAATATTTAACTACATTTAATGAGGTGGTGCAAATAGCACTTTTCTTTTGCACCACTTATAAAACTATTATACCTATTAAATAGGTTGTGCAAATAGCAAATAGGGTGGTGCAAATAGAATTTCCCTTTAAAAACATGCAAAAGTTAGTAAAAAAAAAGTTTTATTTTAGGTTGAATTATTGTCTAAAAAGTTTGGCGAGACGTTACAAATATTACGATATACTTATTGTTGTATGATGATGACTATTGACTACATTGAAATATTTGTTGACGATTTTTTTTTTTTTTTAATTGTACTAACCAAAGTATGATACGTTAGGAAAACAATAAAAATTAGTACATGTTCATTAAACATTCTCATTTGAAATTTTCCATTTTAGAGTTGACAGATTTAGGAGGTGGCGGTTTATTGGGGAGCCATTTTAAAATTTGGATGGGTGGGACATTAAATTAAAATAGAGAAGCATAGGTTGCCACTCCCCTTCAATAATTACTGCCCATGTAATATGGTCCACACAACTTGTGTGGACCATGGTCCAAACAATAATGATTGCATATAATAGGCATATATGAAAAATTAGGAAGAATAATTAATTGGGTTGAGAATTTTGATTAGCCTTTGTTCTTCATAATAGGCATATATGAAAAATTAGGAAGAATAATTAATTGGGTTGAGAATTTTGATTAGCCTTTGTTCTTCATCTATTTCATTCGTAGGTTATAGTAGTGTTTCTTGCGGACATCAATGATCTTGTGATGGTACGAATGTAAGATTTTTTCTAATAATATATATTATATATTATATTATATATTAGGGTCTTAATTAAGTGGAACAAGTTAATTTATCAGGCTTATTAAGTGGTCTGATTGGACTGAATAACTAGAAATTGTTATTCAACCTGACTCTGTGTGGGTCGTTATATCGTGCACCGCGGTGCATAATCGATTATGCACCGCGCGACAGACACTACAGTGTATCTAAACCGACACTGGCTCACGTATTATTTTTATATTATCAAATGAAACTACAGTTATATCAAAATAATACTGTAGTTGTGGTGAAATGAAATTACAGTATATATAAAATGAAACTGAATAAGATTTCACATATTTGAGTGTATATTGTACAATGAAGCTGTAATTATATTCAAATGATCACGTAATTGTGTTTTAATGAAATTATAGTTTATATAAAATAAAATTAAATAACATTTTCACATATTTGAGTGTATAAATATTGAATGAAACTGTAGTTATATCGAAATGAAACTGTAATTGTGTTGAACTGAAATTGCAATGTATACAAAATGAAACTGAAGAACAGAGTTATTTTTTGCGAAGATTCTGTTTCTTTTCATTAAATAAAATGACGTCGTTTTGACAGTGTCGGTTTAGCCACACTGTAATGTCTGACGCGCGGTGCATAATCGATTATGCACCGCGGTGCGCAATATAATTTGCCACTCTGTGTGCATAATATAAACCTGGATTGATGGGATACAAGATATTCATTGTATAGCACATTCAGTTAAGGTACTCATACTGTTCAGTAGACACCAATACACTATCTAGGGTTCTGAGTCAAGTATGTGGCAAAATATGACTAATGGTCTACCGTTCAAGAGGCAACACAACAAGAACATCAATTGTGGCTACTTTCCCAAATGAGAGGTTATGGGTTCAATTTCTTAAAATTGTTTTTGGCCCCTTTACAATCTTAGGTGCCATTTGATTCACAGAATGTTAGATTGCTGTGAATGTTAGATTTCTGTGTTTGATTAAAATTGAGGTATCATGTTTGGTATATATATATATATATATATATACACACACACACTATAATATTCTTAACATATTTTCATATATTTTAATAAATTTAAAAATTAAAATGAATAAATAAAATAACGGTATCATATATAATTACTTGATTTTAAAATATTAACTAAAATTTTGAACTTAAGAAACAAAATTATTTTGTATGCTAACATAATGTAATAAAAATAAAAAATACATAATTACAAATATATATATATATATATATATATATATATATATATATATATATATATATAGCTAACATAAAATATATATTTTTAAATAATTAGAATTAAAATGACAAAATTTATAAATATCCAAGGTTATCTTACGTAACCTAAGAAAGGGAATGGAATCACATTTCTTTCAAAATCGTATGTGAAGGAAATGTTCTATTCTTTGAAAAATGTTATATTTCCTAAGATGATAGAACGACCAAATATATGAATGTAAGCTTTGAAATGTCACATTCCCTTGGTTATGTTATATAACCTGAACCAAACGCTCTCTTAGGGTGTGTTTGGTTCACCAGAAATTAAAATCAAAGTTATAGTTAGTGTTTGATTGACAACTTTTTAAAATACAACTATGAGATTTGATTATGTTAGGACTACTTGTTATAGTCTACTAGGACTCTTCTACTTACTTCTATATCTATGTTGTACAGACCTTTTGTTATGTAACTTCTGTTAATCTAATCCTCATCTGGTATCAGTTTTGTCTAGGTTCTCTCCATGGCAGGTCTTAATGATGATGGTTCTGTTCGTGATTCTACCGAACGGACTGTTACTGAGCCTGCTCCTACCCTCGTTTCATCCCATTCAAACTTATCTTCCGCGCACCACTTTGTTTCGTTGAAACTTACTTCCCGGAATTATTTATTCTGGCGAATGCAGATGATTCCGTTCTTGGATGGTCAGGGGCTACTTGGTTACGTTGATGGGTCCCTGCCTTGTCCGACGGCGGCGACGTCGGTGGCTTCGACGGCAGACAGCGCCGGTGGGGCTGTCCCCTCTCTTTCCGTTCAACAGATGTGGCGCCGGCAAGACCAGGCTATATTATCTCTCTTGATATCGTCTCTGTCCGAGGAGACGCTTCCTCTGGCCGTTGGCCGGACCTTTTCTCGGCAATTATGGTTGGCTGTTGAACAGTCCCTAGGCTCCGCTACTCGTTCTCGGGCGCTATGACTGTTGGGCGAGCTTCAAGGGCTCCGGCAAGGAGGGGCGTCTGTAGCCGATTACCTTAGCCGAGCTCAAATGTTGGTGGAGGATCTTGCTCTTGCTGGACGGCCAGTCACACTCGACGACCAGAACCTGTATGTGTTCCGTGGTCTGAGGCCGGAGCTCCGTCCCTTGGGTGCTCCATTGACCCGTGGTGCTCCGGTCACCTTGACGGAGCTATCCGATTATTTGGTGTCGCAGGAATTTATTTGTGCTGATGACGGTGGTGCTCTAGTGGCTATGGCGGCGAGGCGAGGTCGCGGTGGTCGGGGAGCTGGCGGCCAGTCGCGCGGCAACAGTGACTCCGGTGGTGGCGGTCGTGGTCGTCACGGTCGTGGGCGTGGCAGAGGACGCAACCAAACTGTGCGGTGTCAGCTTTGCAATAGTCAAGGCCATTCTGCTCTTTCCTGCTTTCGCCTGAGCCAGTACGCGTCAAACCCGAGTCCGCAGGCGCATATGGCCTATTCGGCCGGTGATGGTGGTTCGGATGGGCCGCACCAATGGTTCCCGGACACCGGGGCTACGAACCATGTTACTCCGGATGCATCCGTGCTCTCTTCGGCTACTCCGTATTATGGTTCTGACACTCTACGGGTCGGCAACGGTATAGGTTTGCCCATATTTAGTGTTGGTTCCACCTCGATAGCTTCGCCGTCTAGATTATTTTCGTTAAATAATGTGTTGCATGTCCCCGGTCTTTCGTCCTCGTTGTTGTCTGTTTAGAAATTCGCTAAAGATAATAACGTCTTTTTTGAATTTCATCCGTCGTTTTTTTTTTTTTTTTGTGAAGGATCGTTTGACCAGGGAGGTTCTTTTTAAGGGGCATGCTTCCGGGGGGTTGTATTCTTGGCCGTCGTCAAGTTCTGCGCCTACTGCGTTTGTTGCGCGTGCGTCTTCGTCTATTTGGCACTTGCGGCTTGGCCATCCACACGCACGTGTTTTGCGTCAAGTGTTGCAATTGTCTGGTGTTAGTTCGTTTAGTCAAAATAATGTGTCAGATATATGTTCTGCTTGTCAGTTAGGGAAATCCTCCCGATTCCCTTTACCCCGTGTTGATTCATCTAGTACTCATGTTTTGTAATTAATTTATATGGATATTTGGGGCCCTGCGCCTGTTGTGTCTGCAAATGGGTACCGTTACTTTGTTTTGTTTGTTGACGATTTTACTCGTTATGTTTGGTTTTATCCTATCCGGCTTAAAACTGATATTTATTCTATATTTGAGCGGTTTCGGTCACTTGTTGAGCGGTCTTTCTCCCGCAAAATTATTTCCATTCAATCCGATTTAGGGGGAGAGTATAAGAAGCTCTACTCTACGTTTGTATCGTTGGGTATTCGTCACAGGCAGTCCTGTGCGTATACGCACGAGCAGAACGGTCGTGTGGAGCGTTGTCATAGGCATGTCGTTGAGACTGGTCTAGCATTGATGGCTCATGCGTCTGTCCCTACTCGTTTTTGGGACTATGCGTTTGAGACCGCCGTGTATCTTATAAACAAAATGCCTACTCGACCGGTCTCCTCTGTCATACTCCTTTCTGCGTGTGTTCGATTCTCTTTGCTTTCCGTTGCTTCGTCCATATAACCGTAACAAACTTGAATATCGGTCTGCTCCTTGTGTTTTTCTGGGGTATCCGGATTCGTTCCGAGGCTATCGTTGTTTGGATATCTGCACTAATAAGGTTTTCATCTGCCGCCATGTGCGGTTTTATGAGTTTGTTTTTTCGTTTGCTTCTCCTATTGATTCACAAGTTTCAGGTCCGGCTCCGGAGGTGCCGTGGGGTGTTGCTCCTGTTCCACTTTCTCACCCTGTTACGGCGGATGATTCGGATGATGTTGTTGAGCCGCCCGTGGTTGATTCGGATGTTGTTGGTTGTGGTGCTACGGATAGTGAGCGCACGGTCACGGCTCCCGTGCGTGGTCGGTCGCGCCGTGCAGCGCGGCTGCTCTGCCCTGGTCTCATGTGATGGCCACCCGCAGCCGAGGTCCTACTGAGCATGTGGCTTTGGTCTCTACGACTGATAACTCTGATCCTACTTGTTACACTCAGGCGGCCCGGCATCCTGAGTGGCGTGCGGCTATGGATGCGGAGTTTAACGCTTTACTTCTGAATTGCACATGGCGGTTGGTGCCTTACACTCCAGGTATGAATGTTGTTGGGTGTAAGTGGGTCTTCAGGACTAAGCGCAAGGCTGATGGTTCGATAGAGCGACACAAGGCGAAGCTGGTGGCTAAAGGTTTTAATCAGGTGGCTGGACAGGATTTTTCGGACACATTCAGTCCTGTTATCAAGCCCACGACTGTTCGTCTTCTTCTCTCGCTCGCCGTATCCCGGGGTTGGATCATCCGTCAGTTGGATGTCCACAATGCCTTCCTGAATGGCACTCTAGCTGAGATTGTGTGCATGCGGCAGCCGCCAAGGTATGAGGACAAGGCATCTCCTGGTCACGTCTGTCTACTTCAGCGGTCTCTGTACGGGCTGAAGCAGGCTCCCCGTGCTTGGTTCACACGGCTGCACACTTTTCTGGTCTCAATTAGTTTTGTTCCTTCTAAAACTGATGTTTCCTTGTTTTATTATTCTCATGGTGGTGTGCAGCTTTACTTTCTTGTGTATGTGGACGACATTCTCGTTATGGGGTCAGATTCGGCTCGTGTGACGGGGCTCGTGGCTCAATTGGCGGCAGAGTTTAAGATTCGTGACATGGGGTCTCCGTCCTTCTTCCTTGGGATTGAGACTGTTTCTCTGTCCGATGGTTTGCTGCTCTCTCAGCGGCGCTATATGAGTGATATTTTGAAGCACGCCGGTATGGTTGATTGTAAGCCCGTTGCTACTCCTGTGTCTCTTGCGGTGACTGATGATTCTGCGTCGGCTCCTTTTGATGATCCTACTCAATACCGCAGTCTGGCCGGGGCACTTCAGTATCTTACAGTTACTCGTCCGGACTTGTCATATGCGGTGAACCTGCTTTGTCAGCACATGCATACTCCCACTGTGGCGCATTGGGGGATGCTAAAACGGGTGTTACGGTATGTCAAGGGTACTAGTGACTTGGGTCTGCTTGTCAGACGTGCTGTTTCCACTGATATTCATGCATTCTCGGACTCGGATTGGGCCGGTAATCCGACTGATTGCAAGTCGACGAGTGGGTTTGCTGTCTACCTAGGTGGCAATCTCGTTTCTTGGTCCTGTCGCAAGCAACATACAGTGGCTCGCTCGTCAACAGAAGCTGAGTACAAGGCCTTAGCGGATGTGTCTGCGGAAGTGACCTGGCTTGTGTCATTGCTGAGGGAGATTGGAATGTCTCCGGAGTCTCCGCCCAAACTGTGGTGTGATAACTTGGGCGCCACCTATCTCTGCGCTAACCCGGTATTTCATGCGCGAACAAAGCATGTGGAGATTGACTACCACTTTGTTCGTGACAAAGTCTCCAAGAAGGAGATTCAGGTTCATTTCATCTCCACGAAGGATCAGCTGGCTGATATTTTCACTAAAGCACTTCCGTCTACCCGGTTTCGTTTTCTGCGTGGCAAGCTTAATGTTGCAGCTAGTTCACCTTAAGCTTGAGGGGGAGTGTTAGGACTACTTGTTATAGTCTACTAGGACTCTTCTACTTACTTCTATATCTATGTTGTACAGACCTTTTGTTATGTAACTTCTGTTAATCTAATCCTCATCGATTACACCTTCAATTCAAAACCTTATTTCCTAATTAAAAACGCGTATAATTCCATCTTACTATTAATTTGACTTTTAAGTTTGGATTGGTGCTTTTAGATTTTTGTTTTGATTTTTTTTTTGTTTATATTGGTACTTTGAATGTCATTATATTATGATCAATTGATTTAATTTTTAATTTTTGTATTTTTAAATTCTTTATTATCATTATAGAGTCATACATAACAAAACATCAATGTTGGTAATCATTCAAATGGATCGTTATGCCTTGGAACCGTGTTCACCATCCATGGAAAACACAGTCCCAACGGTGTTAGTACACCGTTATTTTTTTTTTCCCTTAATTAATCGCGTGACTTTTCTTCTTTATTTTCACATTTCGTGGTTTCACTTTAATTTGAGGTGAGTAATGATTTCGGACATTCATAAATTATGAATCCATGCCTGCACATTCACTTTGGAACCATACCTACACATTCCCGTCCGAAACCATGGCTGCTCCTCTGTAGCGCAAGCTTCTTCAACATTCACAAATTATGAATTTTTTATGCCTGCACATTCACTTTGAAACCATGCCTACACATTCCCGTCCGAGACCATGGCTGCTCCTCTGTAGCGGAAGCTTCTTCAACATTCATAAATTATGAATTTTCTGTTATGAGATTATGAATTTTCTGTTATGAGAGTATGAATTTTCTGTTATGAGATTATGTATTTACAATAAATTCATAATCTCATAACAGAAAATTCATAATTTAATAAATGTTTTTCTTTTATGCAATTATGAATTTTCTGTTATGAGATTATGAATTTACAGTACATTCATAATCTCATAACAGAAAATTTATAATCTGACCAAACGCGCGCCGTTAACACCACATTCGTGATTTTTATTTTATTTTATGGTGAACACGTTTCCAGTACATAATTTGCCTAGTCAAATTCCACCTTACTACTAAACATGCAAAATATTTCCACCAAATCTATTACTATTACCAAATATTTAATTTCTCATTCCGATTCCATTTTTCTTGTGTGAACCAAACACATCCTTAAATAATTTTCAACACCTCAAGTCTCAAGAACCCACCAAATTACTGCCTTTGCCGCCATTCGTTGCGCTCTTGGAAATTGCTAACAAAGTTCTTACGGAAGTCACGGAACCTACTAAAATTGATCAATGGATGAATGTACATTCAATGCACAAATAATATTTTTAGTATATCAAAAATGTATTTTGTATTAAAAAAATATACATTATTTAAGTATTAAAAAAAATTATTTTATATAATATACATTAAATATACACATTATGTATTTTTAATATAATAAAAAAAATATACTTTTTTATTATGGTTTGTAGTTTGTACCTCACAATAATTTGCCGAAATTGATCGAAGCGTCTTGGAAGAAGGCCCACGGAGGAACGATTGCAACGTCCAGACCTTTACTACCGATATCAAAGATGCAAAATCGCTTGCTGTTACGGAGTCACAAATGGATTGAAACTTTTCTGAGGTGACTCATCAATTAAAGGTCAACATGTAGCGTTGATGGCCGCTGTTGCGGAATGGATTCCAGCGCTGATTTCAAATATATCCTCCAATGTTCCCTCGGCTCCAACCATCATTCCTGGTAATATCCTTCCTAAATCTTGTAATCCTTGCCTCCAATATGTTTGTGAAAATGCCGTAGTGAGTGATTTTGGAAAATTGATTGAAAACTCGGTGGATTTTGTGGCTTTGAATGCTAATAACGCTAAGATCAGTCTTAGGACTGATAATATTGTCAATTATGGTGAGAAAATTGTTAACGTTTACCCAACCCCTGATGTTAACGTTAATCAGGTGAAGTTTGCGTTGGTGAATTCTGCGAATATGAATGCTAATTTTGTTAATAAGAATGATGCAAATGTGAATGCTTATTCTGCCAATAGTAATGTGAATGCTAATGTTCGAATCGTATGTGGAAATGGCTGTGAGAATAATGCAATGAAAATAAAAGCTCCGGTTGCTAATATGAGATCTTGCACTACTCCAATTGGTTGTGAAATTGTGTCTATGAATGTGAGGTCTAGTACTGCTCCAACTTTTTGTGAAAATGTCCCTTTGAATGTTTATATATTGTAGAGTAGTATATTGTTAATGAATTATCCTCCACACATCACAAACTATCACCTTCTCAAGGATGCATGATAACCTCATTCCTATTTCCACTGGTAAAATCTTTATAAAGGAAAATAACCATTTGCTCCTTGTGTAGCAAGCCCATATTGCCAGTCAACTAGTCAAGTGGTATGAAGAATGCTCCATTAGGTCTAACTGCCTAAAACTGGGTAAAACTATATTAAACAATGATAATTATAAGTGTACAAATGATACACGTTTGACCTTATTATAATTTGCTAATTTATTTGACAAAAGTTAGAATTTATTTTAGCTATAAGTGTTGGATCGTCTCGTATCAGGATTTGCATTAGGATCTGTCTTAGTCTTGGTCTACGCTGGATCAGGGTCAGAGTGTATATTCCAACAGTCTACTAACCTTTTTCAGTTGAATTGAACTGTTATTCAGCTTTATTTGAATTATGTGGATGTTATTTATCAGTGGGTTGTGGTCATCATTTATTTGGGGAAAGTTGATTTCATGAAAACAAGTATAAAAGGATGATTTCTTTATCATTTCATTTCACGGATTTTAGAGGTATTATTCAGAGGGATATTCTATTTATACTAAATCAATTTATCATATTATAATCGTGGATTGAAGAGATGATCTAGCTGGATCAATCAACCTGAAACTGGTTCAGCAGGATTTGCGCCTGAAGAAGAAATAGGCATGCACGCTCCTTCCTAAGTTAGATGTTGTGAAGATTAAAGTTGGTTGTTGTGGCTAAGGCCGTGTGTATACAAACCCCCTTGCAATCTTGGTGAACATCTGGATTGGGCTAACGTGAGTTGCCCCGCAGACGTAGGAAGCTTCGCTCCGAACTGCGTGATCAATTTCTCTGTTCCGGATTTTAATTTCTTACCTTTAATTTGTTATTTGTTAATTCAAAAATTGACATAATTAATGGTACGTTAATTCCTTAATTAAAACCAAGTAGAACTTTAGGTATTGACTTGCATTCAAGACCCACGGTACAATTTTGAAATTGTACTGTGGGTTTTTAATGCAAGTTAAGCCTAGAGTTCTACTTAATTTTAATTAAGTAATTAACGTACCATTACTCCTGTTAATTTACGAACGAACAAACACAAATTAAAGGTAAGAAAGTAGAGCTAGGAGCACAGGAATTGTTCACGCAGTTCGGAGCTAAACTTCTACGTCTGCAAGGCTACTCACATCAGCCCAATCCACTAGATGTTCACCAAGATTACAAGGGGGTTTGATTACAAAGGCCTCAGCCACACAACCAACTTTAATCTTCACAACATCTAATTTAGGAGAGGTGCGTGCATGCCGATTTGCTTCGTCAAGCTTCAACACTGTTGCATCAACTTCAAGCAGACTGATCTAGCGAGAACATCACTTCAATACAAGATTATAAACTGATAAACTGATTTAATATAGATAGAATATTCCTTAGTCACCACTAAAAACCGTGAGCAAATAATGATAAAGAAACCATCCTTTTATACTCATTATCACGTAACCAACTTTTCCAAAAGAATGCTGTCCACGACCCTTTGATAAAAGACATCCACATACTTCAAACAAGACTGAATAATAGATCAATTCAATTGAATTTGGTTAGAAGATCGCTGGAAGATATACGCTGACCCTGATCCAGCGTAAACAGAGGCTGTGCCAAAATACTGAGGCAGAACTTGATAGGAGACGGTCCAAAGATTATATCTAATTAAATTCTAACCTATGACAAATAAATTAGCCAATAATAAAAAGGTTAAACGTGTATCATTTGTACACTTACAATAATAAAATGATCTTAAACAAAGTACCATAGATTCTAATATTGTAGAATTATATGAGAAATGTTTTTTGATTCAACATCACTTAGTGACACACTGACACTATTGTTTATTCCCTTGTGGCTATATCATCAATAAGAGAACTTGTAGAATTTTTTATTTGTTTGGTTGATGTCATTACTAATTTGTGATTGAGTAAAAGACATTTTTGGTCCTAAACTTTTAGTGGCTTGGACAATTTTAGTCCTCCATAAATTTTTTTTTCATTTTTTGGACAGACTTATTTTGACGATGACAATTTTGGTCCTCCGTCTATTATGTTGTTAGTTGACCGTTTAAATGAGGGGTATTTGTGTCAATTCAGCTTATTCTCCCTCAGAACAACTTCGCCATCTGAAAGCTTCCAAAATTGGGTTGTGTTTATCATTTTTTTTCCATAATCACATAACCAACTTGGTTTTTAAAATCCTAATTATTTCTGTGTTTTTACAGTGGCAAAAAGAACATCAGTTTTTTATGATCCAACGATAGAGATTCAAGAGTTGACAGCTGTGATCAAGCAGGACATCTCTGCACTTAATGCCGCTGTAGTAGATCTGCAACTCCTTAGCAACTCCCAAAATGAAAGTGGAAGTATGTCTACAGACACAATGACCCATACAACCACTGTGACAACCTTAAAAATCGCTTAATGAGCACCACAAAGGAGTTCAAAGAGGTCCTCACCATTCGGACCGAGGTATATTGACCTCTCTTGCACATGACTTCAATGAGCCATTGAACGTTCATGAGAACAGAATGCAGCTATTTTCTTCAAATGCATCAAAAGAGTCCACTAATCCTTTCATTCGCCAGCGCCCCTTAGAGTCCTGAGCAGCTACTAGTAGCTCTGCATTAGTATCTCCCCTTTCATGGGTTAATAACTCTGCATTCTCATCTCAGTTACCTCTTAGGTATAGTAACACACCTAAACTATACATTTATTATCCAGGTTCATGTACCTTATCTATGTGGATTTCTATGGAGGAGAAGACAGAAAGGATGTTATCCATCACCCTTGACATCTCAGGATTGAAAATGTCCTGCTAAACTATACAACCGCAATTTACTTCTCCCAGAATCATTGTGGTTGTTTCCTTTTGATCCTCTTTCCAACTCTGGCGAGTTCATTTTCTCTGACGACTACGTTTCTCCGCCGCCACCACCACCACCACCGGAATATTCCTTTCCCTAGGAACTCGAATTCCAAACCCACCCAAACGCCAGAAGCTCTATCACGACCATTTCCCACCGGAAATTACCAGAATTGTTTCGGCGTCGCTGTCATTCCGAACCTTCCTCTAATCCAAGACTTGAAGCCTCCGCCGCCGCCTCCTTCATCGTCATTGCCGTAGGAGAGCCTTTTGACTAGAGCGGTTCCTTCCCTGCGTAATGTGATCGCAGGGAGACTGAGGTGGCGAAGAAGAACAATAGAGGAAAGTGTGGCGTGAAGACGTTGTCGGCTCAGAGCATTGCGGCGATGAACACTGTTTGGAAACTTTCAGATGGTAAAGACGTAAAGTTGTTCTATAGTAGAATAAGTTGAATTGACACAAATACCCTTTATTTAGACAGTCAACTAACGACATAATAGACGGAGGACCAAAATTGTCCTCATCACAATAAGTTTGTCCAAAAATGGCAATTTTTTTTTATGGAGGACTAAAATTGTCCAAGCCACTATAAGTCTAGGACCAAAAATTTCTTTTACCCTTTGTGATTACTGCTCTTCTCTTCTTTTAGGCAGTGGCAGAAATAGGTAAGGCATCAAAACATGAGGCTAGTTCTCTGCCTGATCAATCACTGTCATTTTGCAAGAACGTGAAACCTAAAATGTTTGATTTAAAGAAAAAACGGGAAGGCTCTCAAATAAGACAAGACCCTTCAGTGATGATGAAATTGATATGGACTCAAGAGAACCTGGTTAGTAACTAGTTGATTTAATTATGTTTGGTGATATGTCATATAAAACCTCTGTAATTTGGTTGCATGAAAAATTTGCATTTGACAACATATTGTTCTTGCAGGAATAATTATCCATTCCAATGATCCTGACATGCAAATAGAAGAATGGAAGTCTATGGCAGGTTCATGTTTATTTGCAGCAACTCCATTGCTTTGAACACATTCCATGCTTGCTAGCACTTGACATAGTTGAGGTATGATGAGTATCCCATATTTGCTTATTGCATTTATGTAAACTACATATATTAAAATGCTTGCATAACAATGATAATATTTATTCCATGTCTATGGCAAATGGCTGAGCACAAATCCCATTACTGGAGAAAGGGGAAGCTGAACAAAGGGTGCCATAAAAGTCACCACATTGTTCAGAGTGACTGCTCTAGAGTTCAGTTTAGCCTAGCGGCAGGGTAAGTACCTTGCCAGGCATGTGGCTTAGGTTCATATCCAATATCCTTCATGAAGCACAAGCTGGGTCAAATAGGATCTTATTAAGATTGCTTATAATTTTTTTTTTCTCAAATATCAATGCATTACTAACTATTCAATAAAAAGATTTATGATATTCATGCACATGCTTTTCTACTTCTTGAACCATGGGGGCATTTTCGTTGGTTTTTTTATTTGATTGTTTAATGTTGTCTAGGATGGCATATTTGTGATTGCAAAGGTGGCGGAAGCCTACAAGCACAAGAAAGAATCTAAGGAGGCAATTGAACATGCATTTAGTTTGTGTTCATTTCATTATCTTGGGGATACTTTAGATGATGATGAAACTGTGGAGAATAGATTACTCCCAGCTGCAAATAAAATATGGTCTTTCTTGGTTTCTTGTGTTTGAAATAAGAATCCCCTGGTGAGTGATTATCATTGTGATTAAGCTTTAATTTCTCTTTACCATCACATTACAGTACTGATGATTCTAAGGTGCATAAAAGTTACATGTACATAATAGTAATTGTTAGGATTAGTGGTAATTTATGCAATATAGTATAGAGAAAAATGCCATGGAGTAGCATATAATCTATGGCATGACAGATAAATTTTGTACACCATATTGTAATGCCTCCAATATCTATATATATAAGATAAATTGTTAATGCACAAATATTATTTAACATGTATAGACTCCTCGTCAACCGGGTAGTAACCAATGTTGTTTCCATGTCATGACTTACATGAGAACTTTAATTGAGCATGTGTCAGATATTGATGATAAAGAATATGTTCAAGCACTAGTAAGATTTTTATCATATTTTTTATTATTATTTCAATTATTTTTATAAAATTAATCATATTGTGGTTATGCTAAGTACTATAATAAGGAAATTTTTTATATATTTACTATCCATATATTTTTGACATGTAGTTCAAACAAGCTGTTTACAACAAATTAAAATGGATATTGATCTAGTATGTGCATTCAGAATGGTCAGATTGTGTATCAAGTTATATACTTATATAGAGTAGGAATGCATTTGATTAGAACTTTGTGAACAATATTTAGACTTGGTGATTGGAAGTGTTCATTTTATTTTGAAGTAGATGGTGAATTCTTGTGTATTTTGAAATATTTTACATACGTGTAGAAGATGATTGTACTAATGAATTGACGCTTTGGTATTTATAGTGTTTGGATAATTTTTTTTATTATATTATTATGTTTAAAATCAAAGCAGGTTAAAAACGGCGATTTAAGTCTATAAATGTGAGAATAATGGTTTTTAATCATTGTTTTTGATATATAAACGGTTAAAAATTGTTGTCTATGTTTGTAATTTTCAACATTATAGGTTTTAACAACGCTCAACAGGCAATGATTTTTTTTTTTTTTTTAGCCGGTGTCTTATATATCAAAGACAATGATTAAAGACCGTTGTCTATGATGAGTGAAAGAGTTTGTTGTGTATTCAATATCTAAAAAGATAATACAATAATACAGAATACAAGTAATGTAAGTATTAGTTAAGTCAAACTAAACATAACCACATATATTCCTATTATCTCTAACATTCCCCCTCCCCCCCCCCCCCCCCCCCCCCCCCCTCTTGGAAACAACATTGACCTTGTCCCGAAGAGACCCAAAACGTGGAGTCGGCAACAGCTTTGTGAAAATATTAGCTAGTTGATCCTTTGTAGACACAAAATTGACTTGAAACTCCTCGGAAGCAACCTTGTCGCGGACAAAGTGATAGTCGATTTTTACATGTTTGGTCCTGACGTGAAAAAGGGTGTTGGCACATAAGTAGGTGGCACCAAGATTGTCACACCAGAGAGAGGCTGGATGACCAGAATGTAGACCAAGGTCGCATAACAGCGACATAATCCACGCGTAACCTCGGTCGAAACATCAGCTAGCCCATTGTATTCAGCCTCAGTCGAAGATCGGGCTACAGTGCGTTGCTTGCGAGACACCCAAGAAACCAAGTTGGAACCAAGAAATACTGCGTACCCACTGTTTGACTTCCGGTCAATAGGACAACCGGCCCAATCTGAATCTAAAAAGCATGAATATCACACGAGGGCGAAGCAGACAGGTATAAATCATAGTCTAGCGTGCCTCTAACATAACGTAAGACATGTTTGAGAAGCCCCCAGTGTTTTTCGGTGGGGTATGCATAAATTGACACAGCCGGTTAGCCGCGTAGGAAAGATCAAGCCGAGTGATAGTCAAATATTACAAAGCACCTACTAAGCGTTGGTACTAAGTGCGATTATCAAAGAGCTCAGTTGAAAGAGCCACAGCCTGTGTAACTGACGTGGGAGTTGCAAGTGGCTTGCAGTCAGTCATACCTGTTCGGTTCAACAGATCACCCATATAACGACACTGAGGGAGAACTAGGCCCCCGTCTACAGATAGGGTCTCAATGCCAAAAAAAAAACTCGGCGTGCCTAGATCCCTTATCTTAAAGGTAAAGGAGAGACTCAACATAAGTGTGTCAATTAAGGCGGAGTCGTTACCCATAATAATGATGTCATCCACATAAACAACAGGAACACTCGGGAGGTGCCAATCGTGTAGTGAAATAGGGATACATCATTCTTGGATCCGGCAAAACCTGTAGAGAGCAGAAAATCGTGTAGGCGTTTGAACCAGGCCCAGGGCGCCTATTTCAGCCCATACAGAGAACGTTGGAGCCGGTAGACGTGATCGGGATGCCCAGGATCCTCATACCCCGGAGGCTGCCGCATCAACACGGTTTCAGCCAAGTGCCCGTTGAGGAAGGCATTGTGGACATCTAGTTGACGTAGGGTCCAGCCACGGGATACTGCAAGAGAAAACAACATGCGTTCCGTAGTCGGTTTGACTACGGGACTAAATGTGTCGAAAAAGTCTTCCCCAGCGACCTGATTGAACCCCTTTGTGACCAGGCGCGCCTTATAGTGCTCTATAGACCCGTCCGCCTTGCGTTTGGTGCGGTATACCCACTTGCACCTAATTATATTCATGTCCGGCTCAGCCGGAACAAGTGACTAGGTATTATTGTGCAATAGTGCATTGAACTCTTGGTCCATGGCATCACGCCATTGTGGGTGACCAACGACTTGAGTGTAGCAAGTGGGGTCAACGGCATCACTGGACGCAGTTAGAGTATGGAATTGTTCACCAGTGCCCCGAGTCATGTGTCAAAGACGCATAACGTGAGCTTGCTGTTGTGGTTCACCGCCTGAACCACGCCTCTTGGTTGCACGAACTGGTGTAGCACCCTCTGTAGTCAATGGAGCAACTGTTGGAATCGTTGACTGATCAACAAGCACCACGGGGCCTGAACCCCAAGGTACACTAGAGTCGGGAAGCTGAACCACACCCTGCAATGGAGATGCTGATGCAAAAGGAAACACAGATTCATCAAATCTTACATGGCGACAGATAAAGGTTTTTCCAGTATTGAGGTTCATGCAACGATATCCCCTAAACTACGTAGGAAATCTTAAGAAGACACAAGGGGCAGATCGAAACTCTATCTTGTGCCGATTGTATCGCCAAAGATACGGGAAACAAAGACACCCAAAAGCCCGGAGGAATGTGTATGTAGGGGATGATTTATACAGACGGTAGTATGGACTGTCAAACTGTAAGACCGAAGAGGGTAGATGATTAATGAGGTAAGTAGTTGTTTCAAAGGCAGAATCCCAATGTTTTAAGGGAACCGAGTCTTCAGCCAGAAGAGCCAAATCGGTCTCGACAATTTGTCGATGCTGGCGCTCTACCCGACCATTTTGCTCGTGCGTGTAGACACAAGACTACCTGCGCATAATTTGAATTAGGATTTAAAGATAGCATGCAGACGACGATACTCACCCCTAAATCAGTCTGTATGGACTTAATAGAATGTGAGAACAAACGTTCTACCATAGCACGTGACAGGATAATAGGGCTGGCACCCGACCCGAATCACAAATGAGCATCTGACTCAGCATCACATGGGAACCCAACGAGCAGAACTCCAACGGTTAGAATCCAACAGGTGTCACATTTATTGTCATTGAAGCCACCTTTGATGCCACCATTGATGAGAGAGAGTTAAAGCATCAACGCCTCATTCATGTCTCTTCATGTTGTTACCGTTAGGACCTAGCATAAATAGAACTTCCCTCAGCTGAGCAGGGGACACACTGTACTTTCTATACTGAGACAAAGAGCAATACAACTATTGTTACTCTCTTTCACGGAACGTCATTCTAATATTATATTTCCGGTAACATTATTACCGTCATTGGTGCTCTCGTTGAGATAGGCTTTGGCCTAGGTTGGCAGAGGTGCATGCCTCCGGCCGAGGCGTCGCCTCGACCGATCGGTCGAGGCGACGCCTCGGCCACGATCGGTCGAGGCGACGCCTCGGCCACGATCAGTCGAGGCGACGCATCGGCCACGATCGGTCGAGGCGCAAGCCTCGGCCACGATCGGTCGAGGCGACGCCTCGGCCGGAGGCACGCACCTCTGCCAACCTAAGCCAAAGCCTATCTCGGCTAGCATAAGAAATAAAATAAAATCATATGTGATTAAAAACATATATATATATATATATATATATATATATATATATATATATATATATATATATATATATATATAATCACATATCCTAAATCAAGCAGGATTCTACACAGGATCAAGATAGATCCAGCCTTACTCCCAAGTCAACTCAAACACATCTGTTGACTCAGGAGTAGGGGGGACTGGTGACAGGATAATAGGGCTGGCACCCGACCCGGATCACAAATGAGCATCTGAATCAGCATCACATGGGAACCCAACGGGCAGAACTCCAACGGTTAGAATCCAACAGGTGTCACATTTATTGTCATTGAAGCCACCTTTGATGCCACCATTGATGAGAGAGAGTTAAAGCCTCAACGCCTCATTCATGTCTCTTCATGTTGTTACCGTTAGGACCTAGCATAAATAGAACTTCCCTCAGCTGAGCAGGGGACACACTGTACTTTCTATACTGAGACAAAGAGCAATACAACTATTGTTACTCTCTTTCACGGAACGTCATTCTAATATTATATTTCCGGTAACATTATTACCGTCAGCACGGAAATGTTCAAACACCTTATAAAAAACAGTCTTTAAACGCAAAAGGATAAAATCAACAAAAACGAGTATTATCATCTACGAATAAAACAAAATATCGAAAATTGTTCGAGCAAATAACAGGAGCAAGGCTCCAAATATCCGTGTACACAAGGTCCAAAACATTAGAACTAGAAGAGTCTACTCTATCTACAGGGAAACAGGAAGATTTGCCAAGTTGGCAAGCGGAACATAACCCCGACGAACCAGATTTATTTGGAAAAACTAGACACCCCAGGAGGACACGAGCATGCGGATGGCCCAACCGATGATGCGAAACCACGGACGAAGCATGGGCGGTCAAAAAGGCAAGGTGAGACCGTGGAACTGACAGTGTGTATAAGCCACTCGAACTGGGACCCCTAAGGAGCACTGCCTTGGTGATGCAATCCTTCACAACAAAAAACGAAGGGTGGAATTCGAAAAACACATTATTTTCATTAGTGAATCGATGGACAGACAAGAGAGACAGATAAATCAGGAACATGTAAGATATTTAACATATGTAAAGATTTAGAAACCGAGGGAATTGTAGCATGACCAATACGGGAAATACCCAAACCTGTTCCATTGCCAACCCGAAGGACGTCGCCGCCGGTATACTCCTCGGATTGCGCCATCATCGCGACATCCGGCGTTGCATGCGAAGAGGTACCAGTATCTAGATACCACGTCGTGACCTCCGCAGCAGCATTGTCGTCTCCACTCACCGTAACGTTGGCCTGGGCCGGTGGCTGGTCGGAATATCACATGAAGTAGTAGATGACCGTATGACCATGCGAACGACAGATCTAACAACGAGGAGAACCACCACGACCTCGCTGATTCCCACGTCCCTGACCACCGCGGGACTGCCGTCCTCCAGAACCACCATTGCCGATCTGTCGGTGACCACGTCCAACCATCATCGCCGTGGGAGACCCGCCAGGCAGCATCGCCGGATCCGGCGAAAAATGGTCGGAGAAAATAAACTATTGTGCTTGTAAGAAATCAAACAGTTGCGGGATGGATATAGGGGTACCTGAAACGGCAAGGGAGGCTGCCATGGCTCGGAACTCCAGGCGTAGCCCCCGAAAAACGTAGAGATTCTATTCGTCGAGCGACATGTGGTGGCTGGCCAGCGCGAGATCCTCCATTAGCAGTTGGGCTCGCCAAGATACTCCGCCGGTGTACTGTCACCTTGACGATGGGTTTGGAATTATCCGAGTAAGTTGAGGCAGCGCGCACGGGAAGATGAGCCTAGCGACGTTTCGATGGAGAGCCATACATCCCGAGCAGTGGAGTGGCCGACTGTGAGGTACATCACCTCTTCGGAAAGTGATGAGATGAGTAAGGAGATGATAGATTGGTCCTGTTGGACCCAAACAGCGAAGGCGGGGTTCTTCGTCGCTGAGGCTGCTTCGCCAGACGCACCGTTACCGGTGGTGGGTTCGAGAATCGACGGAGGACACGGAAAGCCGCCATCAACATAGCCTATAAGACCTTGGCCACGAAGGAAGGGAATGAGTTGGGTGCGCCAAAAAAGGTAATTCTGGATTGTTAATTTCATGAATACGAAGTGATGGGCGGAGAGGAGGGGGTTGGGGGCAGTCGCCGGTGATGGTACGGTGGTTACCGTGAGTGTCCAGAAGCACTGGTGGACATTGTCGACAGAGAGAGAGTGGGAGGGATAAGTCTATCGCTAACTAATACCAGATGAGTGTAAGAGTTTGTTGTGTATTTAATATATCAAAAGATAATACAGTAATACAGAATACAAGTAACGTAAGTATTCCTATACAATAGGCTACCAGTTAAGTCAAACTAAACATAACCACATATATTCCTATTATCTCTAACATCTATATATAGGCGTGGCTTTCAACAATACTTGTTTTAACAACAAACAATATACAACGGTTTTTAGCTGTTGTCTTATATAGAAGACAATGGTTAAAAATCGTTGTCTATGCATGCGACTTTCAACAATACCGATTTTAACAACATTCAGTAGACAACGCTTTTTACCCGTTATCTTTTCTAAAAAAGATAACGATTAAAACCGTTGTCTATGTGCATTTTTCTTGTAGTGAGACTTTACACGTCTTGTTATAGGCTTCGTTATAAAACAACTCTCTTTTCCCTTTTACAATAGACTTTAGTTGTCCTTTCTGTACAAGTGGGTGAACCTTAATTTAATTTATTTATACAATTTATACCCCAATAAGATCATGTGTTACATGACACATGTTAATTAAATAATATTAAATGTTGAAATTTTATTAACAATTTAATTACTCTCAATTATTGCACCAACAAATTAAACATTTAGATAACTCTTGGCCGCCAGAAGTGTTTAAATTTAGCGCCTACATATTTTTCACATGCATAGAAATTAATTACTATATATCAAGAAAACCTAATATATATGCATGCAATGGCGTAGGTAGATAAACTAGTACTGTACGTAGTGGGGAGATGAGTACGTACGTACAGTTGTGACATGAATACGAAGTGATGGGCGGAGGAGAGGTGGTTGGGGTCAGTCGCCGGTGATGGTACGGTGGTTGCCGTGAGTGTTCGTTCAGAAGCACTGGTGGACATTGTCGAGAGAGAGAGAGAGGGATGGATAAGTCTATCGCTAACTGATACCAGATGAGTGAAAGAGTTTGTTGTGTACTCAATATCTCAAAAGATAATATAGTAATACAGAATACAAGTAACGTAAGTATTCCTATACAATAGGCTACCAATTAAGTCAAACTAAACATAACCACATATATTCCTATTATCTCTAACATCTATAGGCGTGGCTTTCAACAATGCTTGTTTTAACAACAAACAATAGACAATGATTTTTAGCCGTTGTCTTATATAGAATAGACAATGGTTAAAAACCGTTATCTATACATGTGACTTTCAACAATACCGATTTTAACAACAATCAGTAGACAACGATTTTTACCCATTATCTTTTCTAGAAAAGATAACGATTAAAATCGTTGTTTAATTATGTGCATTTTTTTTTTTGTAGTATGTGAGACTTTACATGTCTTGTTATAGGCTTCATTATGGAACAAGTCTCTTTTCCCTTTTACAATAGACTTTAGTTGTCCTTTCTGTACAAGTGGATGAACCTTAATTTAATTTATTTATACAATTTAAACCCCAATAAGATCATGTGTTACATGACACATGCATGTTAAACAATATTAAATGTTGAAATTTTATTACCAATTTACTCTCAATTGCACCATCAAATTAAACATTTAGATAACTCTTGGCCGCCGGAAGTGTTTAAATTTAGCACCTACATATTTTTCACATGCATAGAAATTAATTACTACGGAGTATATATCAAGAAAACCTAACATATATATGCATGCAATGGCGTAGGTAGATACTCACCAAAAATAAAAAAAAATGGCGTAGGTAGATAAACTGTACGTAGTGGGGAGATGAGTACGTACAGTTGTGACATGAATATATATATATATATATATAAAGCAACTAAGTGGTGATTGGTGAAGGCATCCATTTAAGTAGTGCGCAACTGAAATTAAAGACACCATACATACTGTTCTGATCGAGAAATGGGGGAGAGTAGCGTAAGGGTTTGTGTTCTGGGCGGTGCTGGTTATGTGGGTTCTTCATTGGTGAAGAAGCTTGTAGAGGAAGGCTACACTGTTCATGCAACCCTCAGGAACTTGAGTATGAATCATATGATTGAATTATTGTTGCGTTGTTGTATCTTATAAATATAGGGTGTGTTTTGATAAATGACTGTTAGCTGATTGAGTTAGTTGGTCTGACTAGTTGATAACATTGACGGATTGTAAAAAAATGTTAAGTAAATTAGCTGTAAGTTAATTACATACAAAATGACTTTTTCAAAAAATTGATTGAAAAAGCTATTTTGAACAGCTTTTTGAGTTTTAACATTTTGGGGCAATAAATAGTTACAAAAAGTTAATTAATCAAACACTAATATTAATTGTTTAACCAAATCAATGAGCTAATACTGGTGAAATAAGTCAAAATTGTGTGTATGTGCAGGTGAGGAGTCGAAGGTGGGGTTGCTTAAGAGTTTCGCCGTGGGTGCAGAGGAGAGATTGAAGTTGTTCGAAGCTGATCTTTTCGTGAGTAAAGCAGAAAAGGTTGAAGAGGCAATCCGTGGGTGTGAATTTGTGTTCCTGGTGGCGTCGCCGTTGCCGCATGGTGAAAGGTTGAGTGTGGATGCAATAGTGGAGGCAGGAAAGAAGATCACAAATGCTTGCATTAGATGCGGAGGCGTGCGGCGGCTCATCTTCACCGCCTCCATCTCTTCTGCTTCGCCGTTGGAAGAAGACGGTGGTTACAAGGGCGTCCTAGACGAAACATGCTGGACTCCTCTGCCTCTTTCTGTCTCTCATCCCAGTGATCCTAGCGCAATGGTAAGCTTATTAGCTAGCTTACAATATATATAATGGAAGTTAAGTTTAATTTTGAAAAATAATATTTTATTTTGGGATAATTATAGAGAAAATTGTGACCAGGACTATGTGGTCTAATGGTACCTGGGTTGGACTTCCATTTGGAAGATTATGAGTTCGAGCCTCAGTGGAGAAAGTATGAAATAGAGAGCTAGTATCTTAGGTTGCCTTTTCCAACGAGAAGGCTACCCAGAGCCAGTATCACCAGATTACATTTACCCAGACCGAACCGATTTGGGTAGAGAAGGGGGTCTTGGTCTCCTTCCCCGTGACTAACAACCGGCGAGGGGTCATTTTTTGTCTAAAATTTTGCCAGAGGGTGGTCGGAACCTTAATAACCTGTGATAGCAGGTAGGTCGTTAACTGGTTTTGGGCTTCGTTGCATCAAAATAAATTGTTGATAGTGTAATTGTAACTTTAAAAAGTTTAGGAGGATAATTGATTTTTCAGCTAAGGTTTGAGGGCTTATTTGACAATTTTCCCTATATATAATGGAAGTTAAGTTTAATTTTGAAAATTAATATTTTATTATGGAATAATTATATGGAAAATTGTATTTTTGGTCCTTCAGTTATACCTGTGATACAACCTTAGTCCGTGAGTTATATGTTGACCATCTTTAACACCTAAGTTATGCACAAAGTGACGATTTTAGTCTATTGAGACCAGATTATTTCTACCACCAATTTGTCACTTAATAAAATGGCTGATTTTATCCTTCAAGGACTAAAATTTTCATTCCATGCATAACTTAGGGGTTGAAAATGGTCACGCATATAACTTAGGGACTAAGTCTGTACCACGGGTATAACTAAATGACGAAAAATACAATTTTCCTATAATTATATATGTAATTATATATATATTGAAGGATTACATAGTAAGCAAGACACTGGCAGAGAAAGGAGTGTTGGAAAGTAATGATGATGGATTAGAAGTGGTGAGCTTAGGATTGGGGGTTGTGGGAGGAGATACGTGTTTATGGTACTGTCCGCTGTCTACGTCGCTGCTCTTCTCACAACTCACCGGCGACAAGGTGACACGAGAGGCACTCAAATTTATAGAGGATTTGATGGGGAAAATTCCCATTGTACACATTGAGGATGTATGCGATGCTCATATCTTCGCCATCAAAGCCGCCGCAAATATGTCTGGCCGTTTCCTTCTTGCCAATTCTTACCTTTCCATTGGAGAAATCGCTACCTATTTGCGACACAATTATCCTCAATTTCATGTCAACCAACACCAAGAGTAAGCTTAGCTTCTTGTTGCAGCAGTTATATTGTATTTTCTTAGTTTATTTATACACAAATTAAATATAATATTGTAAAATATACATAATAATGTATTTGCTTTGCTGGTTGCAGTTACGTGGTGGATGATCCTAAGCGACAAATAGTGTTGAATTACGAAAAGCTTCTTCACAAGGGTTTCACATACAAAAAATCTTCCAATGATGCAATACATGATTCTATTACCTGCGGGAAGAGATTTGGACATCTCTAAGCAGCCAAACCAAAACATACCTATATATAAAGCGTCCGACTATATTTAAAGATATATGTTATTTTAAAACAATACTAGTACTTATTTGTGTGTATTGAATAACACTCAGCTCTATTCAAATGAGTTAGAGTTCAATAAGTTATCATGCACCGTGTCTTTTTTTTAAATGAAAATAAATAGTGTTTGTTTTCCGCCGTTTCGCACCCTTTTGCAAAAAGTAACCCTGTTCTTCAGTGTCATTTTGTATATACTGCAGTGTCAGTTCAACACAACTACAGTTTCATTTCGATATAACTATAGTTTTATTCGATATTTATAGATTCAAATATGTTAAAATGTTATTTAATTTTATTTTATATATACTATAGTTTCATTAAAACACAACTAAATGATCATTTTGATATAATTACAGCTTCATTGTACAATATACACTCAAATATTTGAAATGTTATTCAGTTTCATTTTATATACATTGCAGTTTCATTTCACTATAACTACAGTATCATTTTGATATAGCTGCGGTGTCGGTTTAGATATACTGTAGTGTCAATTGATGTTTAATACACCAAACAAGTGGACTCCGTTAACTATAACGGTGGACCGTTTCTTTACATAAAGAAACGGCGCCGTTTTTTACCGCAGTGCAAGTGCACCGCGGTCTATGATATAACGACTTGAAGTTATTATCTTTGTTTTGCCTCACCGGCCCACATGGCACTTCTTGTAACCCAAAATCTGTGTGTATATATATATATATATATATATATATATATATATATATATATATATATATATATATATATATATATAGAATTGCACTCAGGTGCGAATGCTTCGCCCAGATGCGAAATAGGAATGAATTCTGTTCGTCCACGTGTCCAAATCTAATGGATGAGAAACACTGATTTTTTAAAAAAACGCGGTGGCATTTTCGTAAATAATTGAACATCGAAGGGCAAGTAAAATGTATTACAAGTGCATGTAAAATGTATTATAGGTGCAAGTAAAAATTTATACTGAGCATCAATACTTAGTTGCACCTATAGTTCTAAATAGTTGCACCTATAGTTCTAAGTAGTTGCACACATAGTTATAAGTAGTTGCACCTAGGTGTATGAATGTTTGCGAGTGGTTTTCAGGGGTATTACTACCCGCTAAACTCAGATCAATGAATGTTAACAAGGCAAAATTACACGCACTTATAGGTGAAAGTAGGTGCACCTATAGTTATAAATAGTTGCACAGATAGTTATAAGCACACCTAGGTGCATGAATGTTTGCGGAAAGTGAATGCTAACAAGGCAAAATTACATGCACTTATAGGTGAAAGTAGGTGCACCTATAGTTATAAGTAGTTGCACCTATAGTTATAAATTGTTGCACCTATAGTTATAAGCACACCCAAGTGCATGAATATTTGCGGAAAGTGAATGCTAACAAGGCAAAATTACATGCACTTATAGGTGAATGTAGGTGCACTTGTAAGTGATTTTACTTGCACTTCGATGTTCAATTATTTACGAAAATGCCACCGCATTTTTTTTAAAGTTATTAGATCTGGACACGTGTCGCGCGCTAATTCGTTCGCATTTCCCTCCTGAGCACTTATTCGCACCTGAGTGCATCTCTCTCTCTCTCTCTCTCTCTCTCTCTCTCTCTATATATATATATATATATATATATATATATATATATATATATATATATAGATTTTGAATCCGGTGCAACCCCTTAGGCAGGTGAGTACGTGAAGCCGCATCCTGTGCGTTTATTTTTTTTATTTTCAACGCCTCAGATTTGATTCATTTTAATTCCGCGTGCGCTTAGTTTTTATGGAATTAGGGGTATTGTTGTCATTTATCGATCTCATTAATAAATTGATTTAATTCTTTCGGCGGTTTATATGGGCTTGTGGTCGTTATAATATAATGGAATCCGCCGTCCGTCTCGAATCTCTTCCGCTCATTCCTCTCCTCCATTTCTTCTCCTCCATTGCCTCCATTTCTTCTCCTCCATGGCCTCAATGGAGGCTAACAGCGAGAAGCAAGTTAGTATATATTATTATATTATGCATCATATTAAGGTGATAATTTCCTTTACTTATTTCTGATCCAGGGCTAATGGAAACTTTGTGAATATTTGAATATTAATGTTCTATCTGGAGACATAGATGGGTTGGTGAATATTAGATTCTTGGTGCAGGGATCTATCAAACAACATTGGTTTAAACGGAGCTTTACCATCTTCAATTGGAAAATTGAAGAATCTTAGAATCTTGTAAGAAAAACCTGAAAACTGTCTGTAAAATAGGAATTAATACAACTTCTATGCTTACAATTGATATGAAGTATGGAGTAATTGTTCTCTTACTTTTTAATGCATAATGCTAATTGGTTGCAGTTTCTTTGGTCCAATTCCTTATTCAATTGGATCTCTGCAAAATCTGGTCTATTTGTAAGAATATCATTTTGGAAGTATTTTAATACATTTTAGCTCAAAGTTTATGATTATGGGGTTAATTGAATATTAGTTCAAAGGATCTTTTCATTTTCTCCAACACTACTAAGTATTGGGATCACATGTTTTGTTATGTTTTTCAATTAAGTTTAAAATGACATGTTTAATAGTTTTCTTGAACCCTATTCTCACTTTACTTACTGAACATTTTTTATTTATTTTTTACTGCCTTTGTGCAGATCTCTGACTTCTAACAGCTTCAATGGGTCAATCCCAAATTCTATAGGCAACTTGTCTAAGCTTTCATGGTTAGATTTGAGCAACAATAAACTTACTGGTACTATCCCAGTCTTTAATCACATGCAACCTGGTTTGGACCAGTTATTTAGTGTCAAACACTTGTAAGTTTATGATATAATAAGATCTTTTGTCTTCTTCTTATCTTTGTAGTAATTATATTAAGGTTGGCTATACTTCCAGCTCTTGAAGTAGATGAGTAGTAAGTATCCATATCAAAACTTAGAGAAAACCTGTAACCACTAAAGCAAATATGAATAGAAGAGGAGGAAGAGGAAGGGGGAAAGCATTACTTTCCAGCTCCTGTACTATTTCTGCATTTTTATAGAAGGTTGCACTTGTATTAATTCTTGAATATTAAGCCACATGTTCTGGCATGAAAACAACTTCTCTTAAAAAGAGATGCTGCTATGTGAAGGAGCCTTGCGCATTGGATCTGGCCTTAATTTATATATCATATAGAGAAATTGCCCATGCAAAAATAATTCTTTCTATGAGAAATGTTTGATAAAAGTTGGTAATTTATGGTGGGGATGTTAATAAGAAACACTTGGAGTTGTAAGGAGTCTTTAAGTGAATGTCTTTATAGTGTGTGGGTGAATTCCAGTTTATTTTGCATCATCTGTGGGCATTAAAAAAAATAAATCAAATTCTTTTTCCTTTTTATTGTTATTTTGAGGATCTGACAAGGAAACTATATTTTATCATCATTGTCTTGATCTTGGTGAGCTTGTCACTATTTCCTGTAATTTACGTTGTGTTGTGTTCTTCAAGTTTTCTGTACCATGCAAGCATGTCTCTGTACATGGGTGTCACATAGAAATTCACTAGTTGGGATGCACCTCACACACCATCGTAAAAATCACCTAAATAAATATTACAGATGCACATACTTGTGTTGTTAGTCTCCATTCATAATGTCATGCAAAATCCGCGTTACAGTATTTTGCACACACCATACCACACAAATGCACACACCACCATGAAATAAAAACTCAACAATAGACCACATGATGCGAAGTTCCATTGCCAACAATTTGCACACGCTATACCACACAAATGCACACACAAACGCGTAAAAATTCATTGATGCACAACACAAACAAACAAATTCTACACATACATTCATTTATTTCAAAACCGGACAAACAACATGCATCCACTCATATTCGTAAATATATATATATATATATATATATATATATATATATATATATATATATATATATATATATATATATATATATTTTATCAAACACTAGAAATAACATTGTAAAGCTCACATACTACAATTTTTTTAGTTCATTAAAAAAAAATAAAAAAAATAACAACGGCATGCTAAAGTCCGTGGCTCATTAACTAGCACATGCCATACAACACACATGCACACATCACTGTAAATAACAATTTCGGTAATAAAAAATCAACGACAAGTACTTTTACAATTTTTTTAAATAAAAACAACATCGTGAATGCACGCACACATCTAATTAGAATTTTTGTAATAATCAAACACAAAAAAAAAAAAAAAAAAAAATTTGCATTGACCCCAGTTTTATAATGTGCGTGTGTATAGTAACTTGCACACACTGTTGCACACCAATGCAGACGCCATATCACAAGCACGCACACACCATCTTAAAATAAATTTTTATATTGCTTCTGCATTCATAAATTAAGTTTTTACATTGATTCTGATTTGTCTTATGTTGGAACTATTGTAAAGCAGTGTTTTATGACTGCAAGTAGCATGGGGGCTGTTGTTAAGGTCCGCCATGTTAGAAGGTCAGCGAATCAGATCGCTCACACGCTAGCGCGGGTGGCTGGTTCTAACTCTGTCCTTGGAGAGTGGCTTCTGACACCTCCCGATTGTATTGCGGCTATGGTTTAATGAGATTCGTTTTCTTAAAAAAAAAAATTTTAGCATAACAAAAAATGTGGATCATTCACGCACACGCCTATTATTAATGTTTATTTTTATTTTTTTAAAAAAAGAAACAACGCTCCCATTCCTAAGCTTTGCACACACCGGAGTACATATTCGGACACCTTCGTAAGTTCATCTCCGGTGTCAAAAAAAAAAAAAAAAAAAAAACTACACATACTACTCTTACAATCTTCTTCTTTAAAACCAACCCATATATACATAAATTCACGCACACACATATAAATTATTTTCGTAAAATTAAAAAAAAAAAAAAAAAAAAAAAAAAAAAAAAAAAAAAAAACTCATCCATACGATTTGCACACGCCATACTACATACACGCATACACCGTCGTTCAACTAAAAATATCAGCTCTTAATACAAATTATTACTAGTTATTACCTTTAATATTCTA